TCAAGTTAACAGTCATTAGATGACATCTACCAGTCTTTGCTCAAGCTAGAATACTATATGTAACCCCTAATTCTTTTTGGCATTACTTAATTGCCTATTCTTACCTAGGTCACAAAGAGAGTCAGTTTGGTGTAGTGGTTAAGTGCGTGGACTCTAACCTGGGAGAACTGGGTTTGATTCCCCACTCCTCCACTTGCACCTGGCTGGATGACCTTGGGCAAGCCATAGTTCTGATAAGAGCTGTTCTTGAAAAAAGAGCAGTTTCTGTCAAGAGCTCTCTCAGCCCCACCTACCTCACAGGGTGTCTGTTGTGGGGAGGGGAAGGAGTTTGTAAGCCACTCTGAGACTCCTTTGGGTAGTGAAGGGTGGGGGATAAATCCAATCTCTTCTTCTAATTGCTATTCAAATATAACATAACCCAGTTGACAGTTCATTTTCTGCTATTGCAGAAAACACATATATTTGCCACCAGCATCCCTCTTTCCCATATCACATTTAAGAGGAGCACAAGGCATATTAAAGCTATTAATATGCCAAATGATATAAAATATTGGCAAAGTAATTAAAATGTCTTGGTTGCACTCCATATAAGAAGCCCATGAAAGCGCCATAACTAGTGGTTTTTGCAGAAGTTAACGTGCACATTTCCAAATTCTTTGTTTATGTGGAACACTGAACGTTGGGGAAATTATAATAGCTTCAATAATACTGCTGCAATGTTGACGACAGAGCAGTCACTCAAAGCCTGCTTTCTTTTTTAAAAAACCTCTAACCTTAAAACAAACAACTCATTTAAAAACATTTTAATTACAGATACTGGGATGTTATTCTAAACATAGTAAAGAAACCCTTGGCATTTATTATGGAAAATCTTACTTGTTTATGATTTGCATATTTAGGACTGGGCTGCAAGACCATTCTGCACGTTGTACTGTAGTATACCAATTTTACAGCAATATGATTTGGCATGGCGAGGATAATTTGAATTTCATCCTTGTATCTTGAACAAACAATGAGTTTGTCAAGGTAAAGATAAGGTTTCCCTTGCCCAAAAGCCAGTCGAATCCGACTCTAGGGATGCGGTGCTCATCTCCATTTCTAAGCCGAAGAGCCAGAGCTGTCCAAAGACTTCTCTGTGGTCATGTGGCCGGCATGGCTAAACGCTGAGGCACACAGAACGCTGTGACCTTCCCACCGAAGCGGTACCTATTTATCTACTTGCAATTTCTTGCTTTCGAACTGCTAGGTCAGCAGGAGCTGGGCCAGAAACGGGAACTAGTGTCATGCGGCACTAGTTTGTCAAGCTGTAACCTAAAACAAAGTCTTTGTATGGCATGTTAAAAACTTATATTTAATTCATTTATACCTTGCCTTCAGTAAAAGCAATAGCGATTTAAAAAACAGTTGCTCCTTTTCTTAAAAGGCAAATCTATCAAAACACATTTATGGCAGCTGACCCAGAGTGGAACTTTCTACTCCCAAGTACATAAAAAACAGTTATCTACACTAAGTTAGTGGCATTATTACAGCAAGGCACCCCACACTACTTGAACTTGGTGTCAGGAGATGACTCATACTGCTCATTCAAGAAATCTCATGATCAAAGCTGCTGCACACCAACATTTTCACTACTCAGAAACCACATTATGACTGACGTTCGAGCCAAGGTAAAAAAAATTGCCTCACTCTACACTCACCTTTAGAGTATTTTGAACTGCACGTTCTTGAAACATCAGTTTAATCATTCCAACTTGGACAATCTCAGTTAGGTAATATGTTTCAGGCAAAAAGGGCATTCCTTGCCATTCTGGGCTAACAAATATATGCAGCTTCTAAGGCCATCAGCAACACATGTCACTTCATACAATGTTTCCTACATAGTAGTCTCTCCCACATAATAAACTGTATGCCTATCACTTATTTGAGAAGCACATTTCTGTCAGCTTTAACACACATCCACATTTCAGAGCCAGGTATGTTTCTCACATATAGGACAAACTCAAGCTGGAATACACAAACTTTCATATGTAGAGGTGGCTGTGCTTTGCAAAGCACTTCATATGGTGAAGACAGATTTTTCGGTATTGAAAGATGTATGCATCAACATCACTACTCCCAAGCCACGTTCTCAAAGAAGGCTTTTACAGCATTTCAAAAACTTTAAATACTGGTCTTGACCAACCATGGCAGTGAAATAAATGTGTGCATTCACAAAATCCAATTATGCCTATTTATCTTCAGCACTAAAGTTTGGGCCATGGAGTGAATGCAATTAGCTCACTCCAGCCATCACATCATCAAACCATGGTTAAGAAACATTAACTATGGTTTAGTGGAATATCTAAAGTAGCAAACCACAGCTTGGGAAACGGATTTGTAAACCACAATGCCTCTTAACTATATGACACAGCGTTGGTAAAGGTTCCCTTACTCGAAAGCCAGTCGAATCCGACTCTAGGGTTGCGGTGCTCATCTCCGTTTCAAAGCCGAAGAGCCAGCGCTGTCTGAAGATGTTTCCGTGGTCATGTGGCCGGCATGACTAAACACCAAGGCGCACGGAACGCTGTTACCTTCCCACCGAAGCGGTACCTATTTATCTACTTGCAATTTCTTGCTTTCGAACTGCTAGGTTGGCAGGAGCTGGAACTAGAGATGGGAGCTCACTCCGTCATGCGGCACACTCGGGTCTCGAACTGCTGAACTACTGACCTTCCACAGCCAATTGAAAGGACAGAGCAGACAGAAAACAAAAATCATTCCAGACAACGGCTTGCATGCAAATCACAGCTCGATGTTCTTTTAACTCAGCTACTCATCCACTTAATTTTCGACTTCCAGAAGCTTCAAATATTCTGAAAAGCAAGCCCACCTTCCCCTAACCACAAGAAAGGCACTGCTTTTGTTCCCGGACTTCCCCAGAAGCCTATGCGTGAACGACCATATGGCAGATTAATTGTGTAAAGTTCCACTTCTGCATGAAGTAAGCCTAACACGAGACAGGGTGAAGGAAAAACGTGGCAGGTGCAACAGTATGGAGTGCCCCACCCTCACTTTCCTGCAGAGATTGGGTTGTGTTTTTTTTTTTTAAAGGAAGGCTACCAGTGTTCCCTCTAAGCTGAGTGTGAGCCAGCTCACAGGTTTTTTTAGCCTCTGCATCACACATTTTTGTCTCAGCTCAGGAAGGAGGGCTCCAGAGCAAGCTAATTTATGCAGTAGCCAAGTCGCTCACTCAGCACTTCAATGCCAACAGCTCACCAAGTAGAATTTTTGCTGACAAGACGCCACAGCTTAGAGAGAGCATTGATCACAGCCAGTGTTCCCTCTAAGCTGAATTGGTGTGAACCGGCTCACCATTTTTTTAGCCTCCGCATCACACATTTTTGTCTTGGCTCAGGAACAGTGCTCCCTCTAAGCTGTGGAGTCCTGTGAGCCAAAATTCAACTTTGTGAGCTACTTGGCATTAAAGCTGTGAGCGAGCGATTTGGCTCCTGCATAAATCAGTTTGCTTTGGAGCCCTCCTTCCTGAGCAAAGACAAAAAAGTGTGAGCCAGAGGCTACAAAACTGTGAGCTAACTCACACTAACTCAGCTTAGAGGGAACACTGCTCAGGAAGGAGGGCTCCAGAGCAAGCTGATTTATGCAGCAGCCGAATCGCTCGCTCACCACTTCAGCGGCCAGCAGCTCACCACGTAGAATTTCTGCTCACAGGACTCCACAGCTTGGACTTATACCCCGCCCTTCACTACCCACACTTAACCACTACACCACACCGGCTCTGGGGAGCACTGCCTACGACACCAGCATCTCTTTCCCAGAGTGGCACGAGACGGCGGGGGAGGGAGGGGATTCGACCCACGGCTTTAAAAACTGCACTCTGCAGCCAATGCTCCCTCTAAGCTGCAGAGTCCTGTGAGCAAAAATCCTACCTAGTGAGCTACTGGCATTAAAGTTGTCAGTGAACGATTTGGCTGCTGCATCAATTAGTTTGCTCTGGAGCCCTCCTTCCTGAGCTGAGACCAAAATGTGTAAGCCGGAGGCTAAAAACCTGTGAGCTAGCTCACAGTAACTCAGCTTGGAGGGAACCCTGGTGGGCGGTACCCTACAATTCTACCTAGCCAACAACCCCTTTCGATTGGCTTGTGAGCTACTGGCATTAAAGTCGTCAGTGAACGATTTGGCTGCTGCATAAATGAGTTTGCTCTGGAGCCCTCCCTTCCTGAGCTAAGACCAAAATGTGTGAGCCGGAGGCTAAAAAACTGTGAGCTAGCTCACACTAACTCAGCTTAGAGGGAACACTGGTCACGACCCACTTTTGGATCAAGATGTATGAGCTCACACTAGCTCAGCTTAGAGGGAATTTAGGAGACAGTCGGAGGTGTTGGGAGAAAATCCAATAGAAAGAAAAAGAGCTAAAGAAAAAACCTGGGGGAAAAGGAAGACAATTAAAGAATCGCAAATTCTGCGAGAACCGCTTAGAGGGACACACTGCAGTCTGCACATGCCCAGAGACGCACGCGGCGATTCGGGGCTCCCCCGACGGGAGAGCGCCGGACACCTGTGCCCTTCCGAGGGTCTTTTCAGCGAGGTCCCCCACCCCTGCAAAGAGCTTACCTTTCCCCCCCATCCAAAATTTCACTGCATGAAAGCAATGCCAAAGCACGCTATTGAATGCCTATTGATAGATTAGAGGGCAGAAGGCATTTCATTGAGTTAATAACAGCGAACAGAACAGGCTTTAATTAGAATACATTGTAAAAACAAGGTATTTTTGTTCCAAAGTTTATTAAATTATACATTCATTTTTCAATGCTGACATTTTTTTAATTCCTATTGTACTGGTTAATATGTTTAACCGTTCTCTAGTTCATTATGGTCTTTGCTAATGTTATAAAAATGTGACTGCTATGTTTTCTTAATACTATTGCATTATGCCAATAAAATGTTATTGGGGGGGAAAAAAGAAAAAGAAGGAAAAAAAAGCCAAGGGTTAGTGGTGGTACCTGATGGGCGTGATGCGGAGCTGGTCTTCCCGCAGCCCCCGCCACGCCCCGGGCAGGAACTCCTTGCACCAGAGGTACGCCTTGCGGCGCGTGCGGAGGTCGGGCTGCTGCGGCGGCTCCTCGGGCGGCGTCGGGGAGGGGGGGGCGGCTGGCGACGGGGGCGGCAGGTCCTTGGCGTCCATCTCGGCGAGCGACGGCGGCAGCGACGGGGCGGAGGCGGGCGAGGGGGCGAGGGCCGGCAGGGCGACGGGGCCCGCCGGGCCGCACCCCAGCAGGAGCCCCAGGGGCGAAGGGTCGGCCTGGCCGCCGCTACAGAACTTGGTCTTCATCGCGGGCTCGGGACGGGGGGGGAACAACGGCTAGCGGCGCGCGCACCTCCTCAACCTCCTCCTCCTGGTCCTCTCAGCGTCGGAGCTCCGCAGCGGATCTGAGGCGCGCTCCGCCACAGCCGCTGTGCTCTCCTTTCGCTCGCTGATTGGCTCGCAGGGGGCCCGGCCCCAACCGCAAGGGGGCGCCCGCGCCGCTGCGTGATTGGTCGAGAGGGAAGAAGCGGCGGCGCGGGAAGGCCATTGGCTGCGGAGCCTCCTCCACCACCAGCACCGCCCCGCCCCCGTTGCTTTGGTGATCGGTGCGGCGAGGCTTGCGCGCATCCCAGTGATGATATATTGGGGGGGCGGGGGGAGCAAGGTGATTGTTCGGCCGATGCGCGCGCAAGCGGATGAGGCGGCTCCTGGCTCAGTCTGGCTGCTTCCCCCTCCCCATTTTTTTGAGGTTTGGGGCGCTCTGGTCCTCCAGGCGGCCCCTTCTCTGCTCTCACGCCCTTCTCGCCTCGACTGGCTCGATGTGCCCGGTCCTTTCCTGTGCTCCCTCCTCTGGACTCCATTTTCTTTTCTTACTACGTTCCGCGAAGCGCTTCCGTTGCTGCTGCTGCTGCTGGCACGTGGATTACGTGTGGTTTCCTCCCCCCGCCCCAATGTCCAAACGTCGAGGGCAGGAGGAGAGGGGACGAGAACAAAACAGAAAAAGCTATTTTTGGGGTGGGGGGGGGGGGGAGAAGAGATGGAAAGAAACCATATCGTTGGAAGAACTGCTGCTGGAAGCAGCTGGGAAGTCGGGGTGGGGGGAGTGGTGGTGGGGTCACTTCTTTTCTTTTTTTTTAATTTCTTTATTATTATTTTTCAACACTGTTACAACAAAGTTTAACATTCTAAAGGGCCGTAGCCAGAAGGTTAAAAACATGCTTAGACAAGGTTGGCAGGTAGCTCAAATACCCTTCCATGCCAGTCTACCACCTAAGAATGTGTAACTGTTGGAACATTTCAGGGTTACAAAATAATCAAAGGAAAAGTAAAGTAAGAGCCAGTTTGGTGTCGTGGTTAAGTGCACGGACTCTAATCTTGGAGAACTGGGTTTGGTTCCCCACTCCTCCACTTGCACCTGCTGGATGACCTTGGGCGAGCCGTAGCTCTGATAAGAGCTGTTCTTGAAAAAGAGCAGTTTCTGTCAGAGCTCTCCCAGCCCCACCTACCTCACAGGGTGTCTGTTGTGGGGAGGGGAAGGGAAAGGAGTTTGTAAGCCGCTCTGAGACTCCTTTGGGTAGTGAAGGGCGGGGTATAAATCCAATTCCTTCTCTTCCTCCTCTAATCTGGGTGAACCAGGTTTGATTCCCCACTCCTCCACTTGCACCTGGCTGGATGACCTTGGGCAAGCCGTTTTTCTGACAAGAGTTGTCCTTGGAAAAAATAGCAGTTTGTGTCAGAGGGTGTCTGTTGTGGGGAGGGGAAGGGAAAGGAGTTTGTAAGCCGCTCTGGGACACCTTTGGGTAGTGAAGGGTGGGGTACCAATCCAATCTCTTTTTCTTCTTCTAAATTTCTATATACCGGGTTATTCAGGATTGTCCCACTGTTTTCTAAATAGCCGATCATGGGAAACCATTCTGCCTGGAACCGCTTTTCCGAGACTGCACAGTCGATGAGCAGGGTTTATTTCATCCTGCTCGGAGCTGTGCGCTGTTAACTCCCCGTGATGCCACAAAGAATATGTCATTGTTTGCATTCCGTATTTAATCGACATGAGGTTGGCCAGGGCGAAATTCTCCTTTGAAAACTACAACGATCCCATCCCATCGTTCTCCAGGCCAGGTAGTCTGCAGTCACAGAAAGTATTACTGGAGGTTTTGAGGTTGTCAAACGCTGTTCACCAGGGGGGAAAAGGAGTGTGTGGGGGGTGTCATTTGGCCGGCATGACTAAACACCAAGGCGCACGGAAGGCTGTTACCTTCCCACTGAAGTGGTACCTATTTATCTACTTGCAATTTCTTGCTTTCAAACTGCTAGGTTGGCAGGAGCTGGAACTAGAGACGGGAGGGTCTTAGAAACAATCAATTCCATCAACCCTGAATTTATGGTTTGTTGGGATGGTGGTGACGTAACCATGCCGATGTGTGTTCTGTAGCCTTCTTGGTCAGGAGGAAAGGAATGTTGCTTAACGACAGTCTCTTGTCATAAAGCAGCTAGCTCACCTTTTCATTTTTCAAAATATACTCCCCAAGTCTTCAATTGGTGTTACTTCTATATTACACACGAATGGCCTGAACTGAACACAGTGGTCATTGCTCCCCCCCCATCTTGCTAGCACAACAACCCTCTTTATTCACTACTTCAGTAGAAGGTTTGTTATTACTCAAACAGAAAGTAAAGGACAGGCTTTCTGGATGACATTCTTGCAAAAGAGGTCTGACTAGTTTTGCTGGTGGTTCTTTCTGAAGACATTTTCATTTAGTGCTTCAGTACAGTGTGTTGAGGGGGAAATGTCCACTGATTCCCCCCTTACTCTAAGAATTGCTTCACACATGACATGGTTTCAGCAGAGGTGTGGGAAATAGAAAGAACCAGACTTTGCTTTCAGACACAAAGGGCTTCAAATCACTGTTGTCCCAGAGGAGTATCTGTGTACATAGCACATAGGAGTCCAGTAGCACCTTAAAGACTTAATAAAATGTACTTCACCTGGGGCTTCTATGAATCGGAGCTTGATGTCTTCAGATGCAGCAGAAGTGAACTCTGATTCATAAAAGATTTTTTTAAACAAAGTCTGAGTCTTTAAGGTGCTAGTGACCTCCTGTGTAAAAATCATTATAAGTTATTTTTAAATGTTAGTGTTAGAAAGGATATCTTTTATTGGAAAGGACCAAGCTGAGCTCTGTGAAAGAGCAGGAGACAGAGGTGCTAGAGGGGTGAGTGTTTTTTATTTGCTTTCAGCTGAGGTGATTAAGCTGAGGGTACTGTGTGGGAGGACTGTGTTTCAGAGTCTGTGGGTGAGTTTTGTTGCAGCTTCCTGACTGCTTGAGATAGGGTGAGAAATGGTCATTGTTCAACTGTAATTGGACCACTTGGGTGAATTTGAATAGCTGCTGGCCCACCCCTCTGCTGGGTGAGGCTTCCATTTAAGGCAGCACCTTACCAGAGGCATGATCTCCTCCACCCCCCCTCCCCTGGTCTCCTCCCCCACCCCTTCCAGCGGCTGGGCCTCACCGATCTCCTCCCTCCCCCCGTTCCTGTGGCGAGGCCTGAGTGGCTTCCAACCGCCAGCTCGCCGCAGAGTTCCCAGAACGTTCCCTGCGCATGCGCAGCGAAGACTCTTACTTTTGGGGGGCTTTAAATATCCCCCCTATATTTTTCCTACTTTTTAGATTTTTGTGCACACCTGCCCCACGTGTGCAAGAAAATCTCCCTGTCCCCCAGGTGCCCCCGATGTGCGGATTTAGATATTTGCATGCAGGGGGCGCCTTCGCTATTAGATATATAGATATGGAGCAGAGATCCATCAGTGGCTATTAGCCACAAGGTATAGATAGGAACTTTGGGGCAGGTGATGCTCTGTATTCTTGGTGCTTGGGGGAGGGGCAACAGTGGGAGGGCTCCTAGTGTCCTGGCCCCATTGCTGGCCCCTGGTATTTCTGGCCACTGTGTGACACAGAGTGTTGGACGGGATGGGCCATTGGCCTGACCCAACATTGGCTTCTCTTATGTTCTTAGGAACTTTCTGTCTGGGGCAAGGGATGCTCTGTATTCTTGGTGCTTGGGGGGGGAGCGACAGTGGGAGGGCTCCTAGTGTCCTCCTGGCCCCACTGCTGGACCTCCTGATGGCACCTGGTACTTTTGGCCACTGTGTGATAGAGTGTTGGACTGGATGGGCCATTGGCCTGATCCAACATTGGCTTCTCTTATGTTCTTATGAGTGAAAGTAAGAGCTGTGCAGTTTTGTGTAAGATCAAAAGTGCCAGTTCTGAGGAAGTGGAAATAATCAACTGATATTAATTACATCTTTTCATACAATGTAAAGGTAAATATCATGCATGGTAAATGTAACGGCCAAGATTCTCAGGATTCCAGGACAAGCATGTGAGTTTGGGGAGGCTCTGTGGTAGAGCATTTGTTTTTTGCATGTCGTGTGTAGAAAAGTCCAGATGCAATAAATTGCCCACCTCGGCACATCGTGCATGGATTTTGTGCAATCAGTGTGGAAACAAACAGCAGCTGTTGACTGCGCTTAAATTACACATAACTATCTGGACACTACAAAAAGAGTTTTAGTTTTACTAGGAATTTGGGATAGCGTAACTGAGGCCAGCCCAACCCAGAAACGTGATAGAAATATGACTGAACATTGTTTATATAGTTACGCTCCCTTATTCATAACTACCTTTCCACCATACCTTTTTGAGTCAGCTGTTCTCCACTTTGATCTATGTGCTCTGAGAGCAGAATACTCACAGACTTGTGTCTGACGGAGAAGGAAGTCATGGGGCTGGTTGTTTGAGGCACTGGCACAAAGGGAACATACTGAGCAAGTGACACAGATGGACTTCCTGAAGCTGCTGTTTGCCGAGTTTCTGCTCATGACGTTCTGCCTGTACTTCGCACAGCCCTGTAGAAGACACTTCACTACTTTATATCAATTTGTGGGCTGAGATAAAAGGATAGTAAAGGTTATTTTTGCAGAAGTGCTCCCCACCGTCATCAATATATATACTTTATTTATTTAAAACACTTATTAGCCACCTTTCTACCTTGCAGAACTTAAGGCAGCTTACAATGTAAATAAAACAAAGAGTTTTATTTGAACTGCGGTGGCTCAAGTGGTTAAGACGGTGAACTGCAGGCTGTGGAAGGTCGGTAGTTCAGCAGTTTGAGACCCGAGTGTGCCGCATGACGGAGTGAGCTCCCGTCTCTAGTTCCAGCTCCCGCCAACCTAGCAGTTCGAAAGCAAGAAATTGCAAGTAGATAAATAGGCACCACTTCGGTGGGAAGGTCACAGCGTTCCGTGCGCCTTGGTGTTTAGTCATGCCAGCCACATGACCATGGAAACGTCTTCGGACAGCGCTGGCTCTTCGGCTTTGAAACGGAGATGAG